CTCTTTCAAAGCTGTGTCTGTTTTTGCCTGTGACACTCAGGTTATACTAATGATAGATGCAGGGGTTCAGATGATGTCCTTAGCTTGGCTGCACTGGCTTCATTCTCTGACCATTGTGGCAATATCGACAGCTTCATGTTTAAGGCACTCTGGTTTAAGTCCAGCACAAAAGACTGGCCTTCTGTGCCTCTCAAGCAATGACCTCAGGAGGAGTCTGATTGCTTCTCATTGGCTGGGGCTGGTTACTTGTCTATCCTAAATCAATTACTGTTGTCAGAAATGGTATAGGTACCATTTGAGATGTATAAATGAAAGAAAAGGAAGAAAATATTGGAGTGACAAAAATCAGGGAAAACAATGCTGGCATGCAAATCCATATTACAGCCACGCAGCCATAATCCTTCAGGAGAATCTTAGAGTTCATATGGTGATCTCTGGATTCTTAGGATACTGTGTCATCTTGGTACACAGAGCTGGCTTTTAGCACAATCAGCTGTTTGTCCTGAAGCTGGGCCAGGTCAATGGGGCTAATACTTGGTTATTTAGGTTCATCCTGAGGTTTCCATTAAAAGCAGCGAAGTCTGGTACACACTCATCAACACCCAGGAATCTCTTTGGATATCCAGTTTTGAAATTCCATTATTCTATTGACCCCCAGGGCAATTTAGCAGAGTTAAATAGTTCCTAGTTCCTAGTTCTTAGTCATTTTTATTCACATGTCACATCAAAGTATAGTCTCTTCAGTCCTTGGAGTCAGCTGGGTTTGTGCCTTCAATTTTTAAAAACTATGAAAATATTCTGCAAATATCCAATCTGATGATCTGGGAATACTTAAGTGAATTAAAATCTTCATACCCAGCTTCAACTGCTTTGAATATTCCCTAGAAATTGTAAATTTTTAGGGCATAAGTTGAAAAATTCACCATTTTGATCACACTAGGATGACTGTCTTGTAGTTTTAAACAGTACAAAATTACCTGATATTGATGACATGAAAGCTCCTGTTTGAAGACAAACTTCTGTTTCAACTTGAATTTCTTCTCAGTCCTCTTTGCCTTTTCCTTTCACTGTAGAGCCCCATCTATGCCAAGTGAACCGACCTTTCCCATGTTTATGCCATGTTCAGAATCTCTCACACAGGTGGCTAGCCTGGCAGTTCACGTGTGAGCTTACCAGTAAGGTGTTTTGTTGGACATCCTGTGCTGGCTTTGCCTTGAAGGCCCTGTGTTAGATGCCATTATTCCGTACAACTCATTACACACAGGAGAAGAAAGGTGACGTGAGTGTCTCCGGCTGACCAGTAAGGAGTGACTTGGCAAGACTCCCAGGCCTCCTGCTTCCTCAGCAAGGCAGTTTCAAGCAGTGGAAAGAGGATGGATTGGAGAGGACAGATGTGCATTGTCTTTGGCTCTATATGTACCAGCTACTACTTTGAGCAGGTTATTGATGCCGGGGTTCTTGTTCATGAAGCCGAAGAATGAGCTTCACAAACACTCCAGGTAGGAGAGCAATGTACAGGCTTTTATTTAGAAATAAAGTGAGAGGAAAGAGTGCCTGGCTCACGCCAGGAGGGGACAAGAGAGCCCATAGTGGTGCATTGTCTACGGGGTTTTATAGGCAGTTGAGGATTTTTCGAGAACATGAAAAAAACTTGGGGTGTGGACTTGCATCACCTGCCCTGTCCTCAAGGTAGGCTGGGTCATAGTCTGATTGTTAGGCCTGACAGCAGACTCACGGGTTATGCTGATACCCTTGCAGAACACTCAGACATTCCAGGCCAAGTTGCTTCTGGCCTTTTGACCTTTAACTGATCTCACTGAAGATGTCTATATCTTTACCCTAGAGAATTAGTGTGACCTTCACTTTGCATAATGCTTAACAGAGTTTCAATGGGGATTTCTTTCCCCATTGTTACATTGCTCTCACTGTAAATATTCCGCCCTGCTTTTCCCGGAGGCCCTCATCCTACTCTGACTACACCCACTGTCCCTGTCTCAGTATTAACCCTCTGAGCTCTGTTTCCTCCTATCAAACTGGAGCTGTAACACCTACTTGTCAGTGCTGTAGCGAGGATTAAGCGATGTAACTTTCTGTAAATCACCTGGCAGAGCAGTTCCCTTCCCTATTGACCTCTACCCCAAATCCGAGATTTTCAGGGCAGGAATCAATTCCTCTGAGAATCATCCTTGGGGAGACAGATGAAACTGGTTTCTGAATTGGTCAAGCTGTGGGCTTGCTGCTACTGCCTGGTTAAGGTGGAAGCAACTGTGTCCCTGGCTGTGTTGTAGACGGCCCGCTGAGCAAATCGCCCAGGACAGATGCGGCTAAGCTGTGGGCGGTTTGAGAAAAGCTAAGGTTTCCCAGAGTTTGTTTTTAAAAGGCCCCAAACCTTTATAGGTCCCAGAGTCTATCTCAGAACCTTAGCACTGACCTTCTTAAGTCAAGCTTGAAAAATTAACATATATTCATTAATGAGGATTTTTTAAAAATTAAAAAATATTTATATTGAGGTGCAATAAGGTGCACAAATCTTAGTGTGCAACTTGATGAATTTTGATGCATGTGAATATCACCCAGATTAAGATATTAAACATTCTAATTTTTTCCCCCTTCACTTATTTCAACAGTCCCCCCACTCTCTCTCCCCTATGGCAACCACCAGTCTGCTTTCTATATTTATGAGTCTATTTCAGTTTTGTTTTTTAGACTCCACATATAAGTGGAATCATATGGTATTCATCTTATTTCACTTAGCATAATACCCTGTAGGTCCATCCATGTTGTTGCAAATGACAGTATTTCATTCCTATGGCTAACATCCCATTGTATATTTGTACCACATCTTTAATTAACTCATCTATCAGTGGATATTTAGGTTGCTTCCATATTTTGGCTACTGTAAATAATGCTGTGATAAACTATTTATATAAATAAAACTTTCTGAATTAGTGATTTTGTCATTTTTTGGTAAATTCCCAGAAGCTGAGTTGCTGGGTTATATGGCATTTCTATTTTAGTTTTTTGAGAAACCTCCATATACTGCTTTCCATAGTGGCTGCACCAATTTACAATTCCATCAGCAGTGTTTGAGGGTTCCTTTTTCTCCATATCCTTGTCAACATGTTGTTTTTGTCTTCTTGATACTAGCCAGGTGTGAGGTGATACCTCATTGTGGTTCTGATTTGCATTTCCTTGATGGTTAGTGATGTGGAGCATCTTTTTGTGTGCCTGTTAGACATCTGTATGTCTTCTTTGGAAGAGTGGCTATTCAGGTCCTCTGCCCATTTTCTAAGGATTATTTGTTTTTGGTATTGAGTTGTGTAAGTTCTTTATATGTTTTAGATAATATTAGCCTCATCAGATATGCTATTTTCAAATATATTTTTCCATACAGTAGGTTGCCTTTTCATTTTGTTGGTTTCCTTTGCTGTGCAAAAGCTTTTTAGTTCTACTTATTTTTGCTTTAGTTTCCCTTGCCTGGGAAGAAATATCCAGAAAAAAATGACTAATGCTAATGTTGAAGAGTTTATTGCCTGTGTTTCCTTCAAGGAGTTTAATGACTTCAGGACTTACATTTAGGTCTTTAATCTACTTTGGGTTTATTTTTGTGGATGGTTTAATACAGATTCATTTTAATGTTTTTTGTAGTGTTCCAGTTTCCCTAATACCATTTATTGAAGAGACTGTCTTTTCGCCATTGCCTTCTTTGCTATGTATTAATTGACCATGTAAGCATGGGTTTATTTCTGGGCTCTCTTTTCTGTTCCATGGGTCTACTTCTCTGTTTTTGTGCCAGTACCATACTGTTTCAAATTTTCTTTTCATGTTATCTCTGCAGTTAAAAATAACTACCTCCTTTAGCTTTCACGTATTTTTAACCTAATAATTTTCTGGACAAACAAATAATTAAAGTCTGACTTCTCAGTTACTGAGAAAACTGGGACATTGTCTTGTTTGTAGCTTATTGCTTTGAGTAGCCTTGTTGTCTCTATATAAAGTAACATTCTTTCAAGCTCTGAGCATGAACCACTTTTCATCATCTTGACAGAGGTTGTGCTATGACCTCCTTTAGCTTTCACGTATTTTTAACCTAATAATTTTCTGGACAAACAAATAATTAAAGTCTGACTTCTCAGTTACTGAGAAAACTGGGACATTGTCTTGTTTGTAGCTTATTGCTTTGAGTAGCCTTGTTGTCTCTATATAAAGTAACATTCTTTCAAGCTCTGAGCATGAACCACTTTTCATCATCTTGACAGAGGTTGTGCTATGTATGGACTGAATGCTTGTGCCCTCCATGAATTCTTACGCTGAAGCCCTAATGCCTGGTGTAACTGGGTTTGGATGAAGTCATGGGGCCATGGGATTGGTACCCTTATAAGGGGCTAAAGGGACCAGGGCTTGCTCTCTACTCTCTGCCATGTGAAATACAAGAAGATGCAATCTACAAACCAGGAAGAGGGTCCTCACTGGATCTGCCAGCACCTTGATCTTGGACTTGCCAGCCTCCAGGATGGTCAGAAATGTTTGTTGTTTGAGCCACTGGTCTATAGGTAATTTGTTATAGCAGCCCAAACATACCTTAAATTATATCCCAGGACTAAAGTTAGTGGGCTACTACCCAATTATAATCATTTTCCTTGATGTGTGTTTTGGTATGATGGCACTGACTCATGGAGGTTGGAGGCGCAGAAAGAAACAGGCCTGTGAATCTTGTGTCTACTATCAGAATGTTGGCCTTTATAACAGGAACAGTGTTTTCTCTTGCTTTCACCTTACAGCTACTTTGAGTTGTATGACTGATCAACATTACTTGTTGGTCCACGTACCACAAAGGCTGCAACCAAATCCAACACTTGTGTATTTTGTAGGACTTCATGGGAAGAAATGTTTTGTATCTGTCCATTCTAGGATGTTTAGTGTTTGCTGCCACTATGTAATGGATGAATTTTATATGATAAAATGTACACAGTTGCACAGAGGTAGAAGAGACATTACAGTGCTTTAAAATCTCCACTTTAAATCTAGAGGCAACAGAGGAAACCAAGGTAAGGTGATTTTACAATTAAAATGCATACAAGTAAAGAGATTCATGAACCAAATAACATTTGTATATTATATTCTTAAATTTTCACTGGCTTCAATAATAAACATATTAACATATTATATTCAGGCATCTTTTCCTTCCAAAGTACTTTCTCAAACGTAACAGGAGTGTGAATATACAATATCAAAAATTTATTTCTGAAATGCTTTATTCTTTTAATCCATACATATTATAGTAAGTATAGAATTTCCTTAAGAATTAACTTCATTGTTAGGACATTGATATGGAGAAGGAAACATCTGGCTCTTCTGACTTCTTACATTTATCCAAGTTCCAAGCAGATTTTTGTATTAAGGTTCTTCATTATTTTTGTCCAAGTTGTGACAGCTAAAACACAACATAAAATCATAAATTTTTTATTTAAACTCCTAAAAAAAATGCACACTTTCACCATGGTGAAGTTTAAGCTTCCTATCTAGAACAATAATTTTACTCAATGTTCACCACTGACTCAAATGTTTAAAATTTAAACTGAAGAGTAATAAACACCATCATGGCAAAAAATAATGTATAACTATAGAAAACAAAAACCCTGAGAATAAAGAAATTAACTCAGTATGAAAATGTAAAGAAAAATGTCATGTGCAGCTTCCCTGTTGGCATAAGGAGAAGTGATCTATTTTAATTAACTTTACATTTCTACAAGATCATTAGAAGGAAAAGAAAAGGCTATCAACATTGGAATGCTGGGTAAACTCCTACTGAGCCAATTCTCCCAGAGATAGCAATTATAAACTTTAAACAGAATACAAAACCAACTATCTGAAGGCAGGAAAGCAACTAAAAGCAGGTTTGGGCACAGAGCTAACAGCTGTAGGAGGGACTAGCACTGGCTGAGTTCCCTGGTTCTGTGTCCTGTACCCTGAAAGCAGGCTGTAGCTGGCGCTCTTCAGGTAGCCAGAACTGATAAAAAACCTGGAGTCTTTCTGACTGAAAAACGAGAGAAGAGAGTTTAGGAAGCTACTGAAAGACAAGGCAGAAATTCTGGAAGGGAGAGAGCCAGTGAGGAAGCCCTAAATTCTGTGCATAGACTTTTCTTAACTCTACAGTGAAACTCTGAACCACTCATGAATGAGACTAAGAAATGAGATTTGAGCTGCTTTCCAAGAGACAGAGTTTGAAGTTTGGGTCTAACCAAGTTAATTGCTTTCTAAAACCCCAAATCAACACCGTGCAAAGAAATAGAATCTGGTCTCTAAAAAATGTAACATTAACAATGTTAAGGATACGACCTAGGCAATATGCATGAAGAAACAGGAAAATATGAGCCATTCTCTAAGGGGACTGACAATGGAGATGAACAGATTGATCCATGTGTTGTTTTAAAAGAAGCCATGGCACATACTTTCCTCTGTGAAATAATAAAACATGCTCACAATGAAAAAGTAAGTCTCAGCAGAGATATACAAACTATACATATGAATGAGAATTCTAGAACTGGTAAATGCAGTATTCTCAAACAGACAACAGGAAAGGCACAGTGAATCTTAAGATAGAGCAATTTAAATTGTATATGCTAAATCCCCATGGATTTGAGGGACAACATAAACAATTGAACATATATATAAATTGGAGTCCCAAAAGGAAAGGAGTGAAAATTGGGCATAAAAATATTTGAAGAAATAAGAGCTAAAAATTCCCTAAATTTGTGAAAATATAAACTTACAGATTCAGGAAGCTCAGTGACCCCCAAATAAAGTAAATCACACA